GGGTCCCCAACCCCCAGGTCGTGGACAGGTATCAGTCCAGAGCCTGTTAGAAACTAGACCACACAGTAGGAGGTGAGTGGCGTTTAAGCTAGCTAAGCTTCATCTGTATTTGCAGCCGCTCCCCAGAGTTAGCATCACTGCCTCAGCTCCACCTCAGATCATCAGGCGTTAGATTCTCACAGGAGCACCCGTCCCTGGTGCCAAAAAGGTTGGGGACTGCTGACTTATATGGGTTATCTATAGTAGTCAAATTCATAGAAACAGGAAGCAGAATGGTGGTTACCAGAGACTAGGGGGAGGAAAAAAGCAGAGTAGTTTAAAGAGCATAGACATTCTTCTGCTCAAATCTCTGCAGTGATGCTCCACTGCAATCAGAAGGGGAGCCAAAATTGTTATAAGAGTCTCCAAGGTCCCTATATGCTGACCCCCCTTATCTTGATGGTCCATCTCCTCCCTCTCTCCCCTCATTCACTCTTCTCTATCCTTTCTGGCCAGTCTGCCAGGTCTACTCCTGTCTTAGGTCCTGTGGTTGACTAAGCTTGATGTCCCTTTCTTGGAGCTTGGCAATTGACATGAGTACCCAGTAGTATATTTTTGTAAAAATCTAAGCTTGTGTTACAGGGTACTTTGAGAGAATTGACCAATAATGATTGAAAAATGTTTACGAATGGATAAAAGTTCCCATTCGGAGTATAGGAAAAGAATTAAGGAATAGGGGCAAATATCTACTTTAGTTCTATAAATAACAGACTGTGCACTCAGCGTTTGGGGCTGGCCAGCCTAATGTGCTGACTAAAGGCCACAATAGCTCTGAACAACAAGCTGGATCACCAGGACTTAAGTGAGAGGAGAAGAGGCAGTCATGAGTCTCATTGGCTGCATTGATTGCCAGGGAACCATCCATCCATTCATTCTGAAAAATTGTTATACTTGCCACTAGCACGGGGCTAGGCTACAGAACAGAGAATGAAGAATAAGATAAAAATATAAGAGTTGAAGAAGATTCCAAGTGATCTCCAAGACGAATATAAGGTCTGGAGTAAAGGGTTGATGCTTTGGAGCTCTTTGAAGCCTAAGATGATGGTGGCCTCATTAGCAACACCCACAGTCGGGGGAGGGTGGAGAGGGTGAGAGACAAGCATCTCAGGACATCACAGGCTCCAGGGGCACCAGGCTGGGCCCTACCTTGCTTTTAGAATTCTTTTTTTCTTTTTTTTTTTTACTGCCATCAACCAGTAAACTTATCCTGGCAGTATAAGTAGATAGGTTTTTATTTATCTCTATATTCTCAAATATTATCTTTAATCACACTTTATTATACAGGATACTTCTTTGGCAAGAGTATTTGGAACATAGTCAAAGAAGCAGGAAGTAAGAAAAGCACCTGTGAATATCCAAGATAGACAGCATAGAGTTTACTTAAAATTGAAGTACTTCTTCAAGAACTCCTTAGGCACTCAGCTTTCAAAGCCTAGTGCTTCTAAGGAAATCTGTAGAGTTCCCCAGATCATAGGAGAACCAAAATAGCAGGCAAATAACTGAAATATGAGAGCCAAAGAGGAGATCGAAAAGTAGAAAGTAGATACAGTAACGGAGAAAGTTTACCTCTTTGGGTGTAGTTTAGGGCAAGGACAAACTCTTGACACATCGATGCACTCCAAGAATTTGTAGCATGGCTTCTTGTTTACAATAATGCCTGACTCATCACTAAACATTCAATTATGATCACTAACTCCATTGAAATATGTAGGGATTCCTTCAGTCCTTATACCAGCCGCAAGGGATCATAATTCTTATTCCTACTTTATAGAGGAGAAAGTTAGGCTTGAGGAAGTTAATTGATTTGCTCAGTCACAAAACCAGTAAAAGGCAGCACTGGCTTTCGGATCCAGTTTTCTTTAGCTCTAAAGACTGGGTTCTTTAGATTTTCATTATCTGTTCCTATGCTAGGTTTTAGGCACCAGTTCCAACCACTCAGCAGTTGTACAAAAATCATATTTATCAATATCTTTCTGAGTATTTTTAGTTAATGGAGTTTTGTTAGCAAGCTTTATTCTATGTTCAGTTATCGATGACTAATTTCTGCTTTGTATTTCTTATAACTGGTTTCTTTCAGAGGTTAGTATATTATTTTGGATTCTTTTGTCTTTAGCCATATCAGCGTTTCCCTGTTGTACGATGCACATAAGTTAACATGCTGAGCTGATTTGTGTTGATTGATCTTGAATATTCTTAGGGAAATATGCTATTACTTAGCAGTAATAGCTAAATCTGGTAGGTGTTCAGTTATATTAATTTCTTCATTTGCTGAACACGTACAAATATAAAAACGTTTAACTGTGATCTCAACCTTAAACAATGTTAGGCAGGTCGATGGCATGATATGTTCTAAGCAAACAGAGTGGTTGAGCTAAAATGCTAAAAAACTGAGCACTGATTGCAAAATCTAAATTCTCTAAGGTTTTGTGGATAATGCTTAAAGAAACTGTTTAAAAAGCAAGAATGAATACCCACTGTAGGTCAATTTAGACCATTATGCAGATCAGCTATCAACTGTTAAGCATGGAATTTAATGTACTTTACAGGCAACAATTTCTGCTGTTTTCCTGAAGGTGGACTCCTAGCATAATAAAAAGATTTCTGTATAATAAAAAGAACAATAGCCAAGTTTTGAACCCTACTTTTTCTGTTTACTAGCTGTATAAGTTAGCTGCAAATTATCAGAAATTAGTAATCTTATACATAAAAGTGGAGATAATGATGGTATAATAAAAATGATAATACCTTCCAACCTCATAGAGTTGTTGGGAGGATCAAAGGGATGATGTAAATGAATATGCTCTGTGAGTATACAGCATTGTTACATAAATATATAGTATTATTAAAATGGCAATTTTATTTTTACATGAGTTATATCATTGTTGATAGTTTTAATTTAGTTTTGTTGATGATTATCTTTGGTTGACTCTAGACTGATTATATCATTAGAATTTTATCTTCTTGAGGGGTTATACCATTGAGAACTTTGAGGACTGTTTTAATTCAGTTTTGTTTGAGTATTTTTGCCTGGGTCTAGACTGGCATATGACTAGTGTTGAGTTTACATCAGTCCATAGGATCATGCTGCCTTCCTGAAACATGCCAGAAGCCTTCTCAAAACCTTTGGTCTGGCCTTTAATTTTAGACCAGTCATTGGGATGAGCACTGGATCTTCTGGATGACTTCACATTCTGAGCATGGTTCCATAAGGGAGATTAAAAACTTGACATCAAACCTCATTCTACTGCAGATAGAAAACAGGCGAGACAGAATGCCTGTAGCATCTCTCTTGCCACCTCATTTTGAACAGTAAATATAATGCCTGTCCACAGGAATGATAGGCCTGTGTCAGGCATGTGGGTGGGCCTCTTGCTGAAGAGAGAATGGAGGCAATGTGGCATAATGACTCAGAGCCCAGGCTCTGGAATCAGATGTGTTTTACTTAACCTCCCTAAATAAACCCAAGTTACTTAAGCTCTCTAAATCCCAGTTTTCTCATCTGTAAATAGGGATTATAATTACCACATGGGGTATTGTCACTGGTAAATGAAACAACTTTTATAAAGTTATAGCTAACATAATTATTAAGGATCTACAATTGATAGAGGATGGAAAAAGATAAACGGAAAGGAAAAGAGAGCCATATGTAGCCTGTGGAACAAAAAAAAAGGAAGGCTGTTCTATGAAAAGTAACCTTGCAGGGTGATCTGATCATAAATTCCTACCTAGGCAGGTCATGGTGGGTAGCCATGCCCCATGGATATAACTTCCTTAGTGAAAGGTTTTAAGCCAGCCCTGTGTATGTTCTTGCGCATCTAGGTTAACGCACCTTTGAAATGCCAGTGTAATACTCCTCCAAGGGGGTATTAACCCTCAAGAGAGCACATAACCTTGTTAACTATCCTGTCATCCAAACCTGTCTTGCTTTCTCCAGTCTTCCTTATGGCCCCTCCTTAATTTCCAATGTGTAAAAGCAACTGCAAAACTGTCATTCTGCAGAGCATTTGAGATCCTGCTCCTGGGAACATAGATGTCAGTTGGGTTCAAATAAACTTATAAAAATTCTCTACAGGTTTGGATGTTTCTTATGTCCGCAAGCTCTTATAAATCTTAGAATCATATCCGGTCCCCCAGAAGCCTATTTAATTAATATATAGTGTAACTGATTTGTTTTCTTGATACTTTGTCATTTAATACTTCTTTTAACATTGATTGTATTACAGTAACAGTAGAACTTTTGTGGCATTTTATATCTAAGTGTGTTGATTTTTAAAAAGTGTTTTCAGGCCCCTTCTGCCTTCAAACACCTCACTTACAGCTGTCATCTTGCTCAAGCTGAGGAATTTATTTTGGTGAATAATTTCAGTAATTTTAATTCTGGTCAATCTCCAGACCTCACCTATAAAATCTCCATGGGGAAAAGGGGTGGTGGTAGGGACTTTCTTGCTCTTGGGTTGAGAAACTCCGACCTGGCCATTTAAAGTTCAGGGGAGTTTGTTGGTGATGAAACTCAAAAAAGAGGGAGTCTGGGTGCTGGGGTATAGCAGCCCAGGGGGGTCTCTCTGGGCTCTAGCCACTGTCAGATTAACCCTCTGCCGCAAGGAGTGCAAGGGAGAAAGCTCTAAAGGAAAGCGCAGGAAATCTTAGCCCGGGCGGGGACCGGGGTGGGGCAAGGGGTGCGCTCTAGAGAAAGGCGCCCGCCTGGGTGACTCGGGTTGGAGGTCGCGTCGTGTGCTGAAGAGACGGGGCGTCCAGCTCGGAGGAGGACGAGAGGCGCCTCCCCGCCCCAGGGGCCGCGCTCCACCAGCACTCCCGCCCGCGTCGCTTTCCGTCTCCCCGCCGCCCGAGTTCAGGCCCGGCTGGGCGGGCCGGGTGGCGCTCGGGGCCGGGCTCCGCGTCCCCACTTTCCTGCCTCCCTCCCTCCTCCCGGGCGTCCCGGCGGCCGGGCCAATGAGCGCAGAGAGGAGGGAGCGGGAAGCGGCGCGCTCGGCGCGGCCCTCCCACGGCGCCCGGGCCGCAGCGCCAACGCTAAGTTTGCGCCCCTGGAGTTGGTGTCGGGTCGCGTCCCCCCGCCTCCTCGCACCTAGGTCCCCGGGAGTGAGGCGGCCGCGCGCCCCTCGGGGCGGCCACCCACGAACACTCGGGCGGGAGGACGCCCAGTAGAGTGGCGCGGGCCGGGGCGGGGGCAGCAGCCTCTCGAAGATGCGGGATGGCAACCGAGCCGCCGTCCAGCCTCTCCTACCGCACCACGGGCTCCACCTGCCTGCACCCGCTCAGCCAGCTCCTAGGCATCCCGCTCGACCAGGTGAGTGCGGAGGGGAGGCAGGACCCCTCCTCAAGTCCGGGCGCGGAGCCTACCCGGGAAACGTTATCTCCCTCTGCCCCCGCCCCCATAGCAGATGTTACAGCTGCAAACTAGACAGGTGGGCTCTTTCTTTTCTTTTTTTTTTGAGTTATGTTTTTCTCCTGTAAGTGTGGGGGAAGTTTATGTTTTTCTCCTGTTAAGTGTCGAGATAGGAGGAGAAAAAAAGATACTTTGTACGACAAGTTCGAATGAACTTTTTTTAAAGTTTTGGGTTGCCTTGTTTCCTATTATTAAGTTCTAAAGTCTTCTGATTGATGAATCAGTTTCTTCCATCAGTGGAGTCAAGTCTTTATTATTTTTAATATAGATGATCCAACTTTAAAAATACTCCTGATTAATCTAGAGGCCTATTACAGCCTATTTAGCTTTCGAATGAGAGATCTGGTTTTAGACGTAAACAGTGAGACTTGTCAAATTAGAGTGATACTTATTTTATACCATGTGTGATGTCCATCGGCAAAGGAGGAGGGACGCTGGACACTATCGTTGTCCGAGGACCTTAGTTTATTCCTTTATCCTTGAGGTTCCAGGCTCCGGAGAAGGGCAGTTTTAGTGGGACAAGAGGGTTGCTGTCGAGGTTATTTGGACTGTCCGGTGCTGTCTGCTACCGTTAAAATTGAAAATGGAAATAAAGAACAGTAATTTCTGGTAAGAAATCTTCCTGAAAGTTGAGGCCGTCTTACTCCTTTCCATGTCCCCTTTAGGTGCTGCAGGCTTGATCTGCCATGTATTTAGTAAATGTGAGTCAGTAAATGTGGGTTGATTTAAATGGAATCGGGTTGTGGCCCGCTGGAGGGCCCACTGCACTCTTGCCTGTTTCATGGCTCAGTTTTTGCCCAGGTTTCTTCCTCACCTCTCACTAGTGATATTTATATATGTAATTTTATATTTACATAACTTTTTTGTTTGTTTGTTTCTCAAACAAGAGCATACCTGCTGCTCTTTCCATTCACATTCTTTCAGCAATGGAGAAGTGAAAGCCGGCCAGTTTCCCTACTCAGATACTATTTACTGAGCCAACCATTTACCTGGCTCCCTCTGAGGATCTGATTCAGTACCTCTCATCTCACTGTCTTCTTATCAGTTAGTTGCTAAATCTAGAAAGTTAAGGACTTGGGAGAGGTATCAGATGCTAACTCCTGCTTTTATAAATTACTCTTTTGTGTGTAGTGATGATGGGAGAGATCCAGGAACCTAGGCAAAGACAGAAATAAGAGCTTAAGTCTTTAGCCCTGAAATGAATGTAACTCATAAGGGGAGTTTGTTTTGTTCTTAACCCCACTCCCCACCCCCTGAATTTATTTTAATTGCATTTTCTTTTTTAAGCTATTCTGCACAGCTAGAGAGAGGAATCCAGGGAGGGCCTTGTGTATGAAAAAAGATAGACTGTTAATGGAAACTGGTGAGTTACAGCTGGGAGGTGCTTGTATGATGTTATTGTTTTTTAACTGCATCCCCAGTCTCCTGGATTTCTGTTAAAGGAACCTTGTTTTTAATGTGTAAGAGAGAGCGAAAGAGCCTTAGGGGCATTTAAGGTGGAGAGGTAGGGATTTCTGGGATGAACTGAAGGAAGAATGTGGGTAATGGGCAAGGAGGGAGCACCTGTTATCTCTTAGATCTTAGGACAGCCCATTCACTGTCCAGCAGGGTCGAATCTGAATGACTTTTGGTGGAAGAAGCACATATAGGGCAGTGTGCCAGCTAGCTTATTTTAGACTCAGGGAAAATCCCAGACCATAAATAATGTGGTTTGAGGCTAAATTGTGGATTGAGAGTTTGCAAACTCGATGTTTCTTTCAAGGGCTTTTTAAGATCTTAGATGTCAGACTGACCTGGGTGTAATTCCTGCTCTGCCAGGAGACTTCCTTTTGTGACCATGGCTGATACTCTACCCTCTCAGAGCCTCAGCATCCTCATATGTAAAATGAGAGATGGCACTAAGACCTACGTTTTGGAGTTGAGAAATTTTATAGACATAAAATGCCCCACATTAGGGAGATCCTTGTATCAGACAGGGTTCTGGCAGGAAACAGAATTCAACTCAATGGGTTGCAATGAAGAAACTTTGATGAACTACTTAGAGGAATGTGGGCAACATTAAGGGAACTGACAAAGGATGATCGGATACCAATACCTGGGCACTGAAGGGGAAAGGTTTGGAAGTCCTGTTGCAACTGCCCAGTGAGAGCTGCACCCAACCTGTGCCTAGAGAGAACCTCAGCCCTTCTCCTACCTCACAGTCCTTTTATTTCTTGCCAGGTGCCCTACAGTGGTCAGGCCCCCCGAGGGTGGCTGGCCTGGGGCACCTGGATAATGCAGTCTGCAGGGGTCCAAGGGCACAGAATGAGGAAGGGAAAGCTCTAGACAGACCTGGAGGAGAATTCAAGGGTAAGAGTTCAGTCCTTGATAAACATTTGCTCCTGTCCCATTAAAGAGCGATTTTTTTATTGGCCTGTGATATGCTAAAAATTATAAAACATATACCTCAAGTTACCCAAATAGTTCTTCCTATGCCACATAAAGACACTGAATTTTTTTCCTAATGAATGTCTTAACATTTCACACATACATTTGTAATATTTGAATTAAGCGCACTTCTGAGAATATCTTTGGCTTATAGGTGTCCATGTGTTAAGTAGTTTATTATTTGCAAAAACTGTAATATCCGTTATTCTACTATGAGAGTGAATAACTTTTTTATTACTTTTCACCTGATAATCCATTTACCTGTTCCGTTAACTCCTGGGGGAAGCCTGTATACAACTGTGACAATTCTGAGGAAAAAAATCTATGGTTTTAGTTTCCAGGGACTTTTACTAGTCTGATCTCCTCCTAAAGAAAGATGTTAAATATAAAATCATCTTATTTAATTAGAAACAAATAGAGCACAGAGATTCAGATAGAGCATAGGAAATGGGTGATGACTTAGGAGCCTCCATAGGTACCTCAAAGATGAGTTTGTTGAAACTGCATTTCTAAATTAGTGAGTCTCATGGACTATAGACTAGTGGTTACCAGAGGGCAGGAGAGAGGGGGAGGTAGATAGGGTAAAGGGGGGTCAGATATGTAGTGACAGCAATCTAACTACGGGAGGTGAACACACAGTGTAAATATATATATACCTTACTGTTAAAGTGTACAGTTGAAACTTATTGGATTTCGGTAACCAATGTCACCATGAAAAAACTAAAATAAAAAAATAATAAAATAAAATAAAAGAGCTCCCAAGTATATTGCTAAAAAAAAAAAAAAAAAAAAGTGAGTCTCTGTCCAGCAAATACGGAGTTCCGACAATTAGTAGGATTATTCAGATACAAAGCTTCACTTACCCAGAATAAGTTAAGTAAGAACTTCTTTTTCCCATTAAGGGGGGAATCAAGGAATGGAGGATGAATGTTTTATTTTATTTCTTGTTTAAATCATCTTCTCATGCTCCGTCCACTTTGTTTTGGTTGTGGAGTGTGACGCTGTCTGTCTTTAACCAGAGCATTCTAAGTTTGCAAGAACAACTGAGCTACTAGGATGGATGCCATATTGACCTTATTAATTTGTGTGGTGCACGGTTGTGTCCTAGGAGCTGTGAAAGGTGAGAAAGAAACTTTCTCGGCTTTAAGGCATTTCCACTTTGGTGGTGGAGAGTTCTGGGTGCTAAGGCTATTTTTACTGACTGGCATCCACAGATTTTGTGTTTGCATAAAATATCAATTCAGTGTTAAATTTGGATTCTTTGGGATATATATTCTTTTCTCTCTCTCTCCCCTCCTTCCCCACCCCACAACCTCCCTTCCTTCCTCCCTAATTTAATCAGCAGAATATAAGGCAAGGGAAAAATAGAAAGGACATAAGAATTCAGGGAACGATTTTGAGATTAAAGCATTAGAAATTAATTAAAGACTATTAATGTAAGCTCGTGATACAGTTTATAAGGTTGATTATTCCACCAGGGCCTGTGACCACAAAGTTTCTTTACCTGCCTGGAGCTTTTAGTCACCTGGTTTGTTCCCTTGTCCATTCTTGGAAAGCCCAACCTTTACTTCTTTTCTTGTCTAAGTCTTGCCCTTCCTTAAAAGCTCAGCTCACATTCCACGGTCATGATTAAATCAATTAAATGTTTATTTAATGCTATTAGTGCCAGGTACCTGGCCAGGTGGTAGAAATATAAGGACAAAACAATCAAGGTCAAAGTCTTCCTCATTCTAGAAGAGCTTATATACCAGCAGAGAAGACAAGGAGCCCATATAAGTGTATAAGTGCAGTGTCATGACAGACCTGTGAAGTGCTAATAGAGGTTTGTAGATGGAACCCTGGTGGAGGGAAGCCATAGGACACATAAGACTCCTGTGGAATTTATGTATATCTTTGACTTGGCTTACATGTGCCATTTAGTAAATATTACCTTATATTGCTAGTTATCTTGCTGGTTTATATGCTGAATTTCAAACTAGTTTAAAGTCTCTTTGAGGTCCAGGTTTTATCCCTCCTTGTATTCCAAGGAAATAGTGGGTACTCAATAAATGTAGGAACAATATATGCCAGTGTTTCTGATGTACATTATCAAACTTCATTATGTAGAGCCTTGTTTTTAAAGTGGACAGTAGACTGGCCTTTGTGGGAGGAAGGGTCCTGCACCTAACTCCCCAATCCTCCCTGAATGATGCTGCCCCCTGGCTGTACCCACTCTTCCCCCTGGGGCTTTCTGGTTCACCCCAGTTTAGGGTGCATATGGCAGGCCACAGGACATCAGTCTAGCAGAGAGCCACTTCTTTTCACTTCCTGCAATGTCAGGCCTCCTCTTTGGACTTAATTTCCTCTTTATTGTATGATAATGAAAATGATTCACCTCCAGGGAGGAAGATAATTTGGTTAAACCAAAAACAACAAGTATTGAGTTTGTATGTGTTCCAGGAATTCCTGGGGCTCTGCTAAGCTGTGATGATTCA